GTCCTGGGTGACGTCACTTGGCAGGTCGGGCAGACTTGGCAGAACCGCTTCACTTCCTGGCCAGTGGAAGCGGTCGCGGATCCGCTGGATGGTGTTCCCGGCTCCGAGATGCCCTGCCAAGGGATGGGAGTGCGCCAGCTCCAGTACGGTCTCCGTTTTGGTGCGTGGCACCACCAACAATGATTTTTCCTCCCCCCTTCGCTGCACAGCACAACACAGTACAAAAGGCCATTTTGGGGTGCCCTCCAGCACGCGCCGCTCCTGGACCATCCTCCGGGGAAACGGTGGCACTCACTCTCCAGCATCCCGGTGTTGGGCCACATCCGCCAGCTCGACAGCCTCCACCAGCTTCGACGTGGTGGTTGGGTTCCTCATCCCAACGTCCTGTCGGTGAGATCGGGGAAGGGCTCGGAGAAGACTGTCTATCACCACACGCTCCACCACCTGTCCAGCCGATGGAGCCCCCTCCAGCAGCCAGTGCTGTGCGAGTCGTGTGAGTTCGGCAGCCTGGGCACGGGCCGGCAGATGGGGCTTTTACTCCCACTCGTGGAAGCTCTGGGGGTGGCACTCACTCTCCAGCATCCCGGTGTTGGGCCACATCCGCCAGCTCGACAGCCTCCACCAGCTTCGACGTGGTGGTTGGGTTCCTCATCCCAACGTCCTGTCGGTGAGATCGGGGAAGGGCTCGGAGAAGACTGTCTATCACCACACGCTCCACCACCTGTCCAGCCGATGGAGCCCCCTCCAGCAGCCAGTGCTGTGCGAGTCGTGTGAGTTCGGCAGCCTGGGCACGGGCCGGCAGATGGGGCTTATACTCCCACTCGTGGAAGTTCTGGGCGGCACAGATAGGGGATAACCCCAGGCGGGCTAGGATTTCCTTCTTGACCTCCTTATATTGATCGGCGGAGGCGGCGGGAAGAGCGAAGTATGCATGCTACGCGTCGCCCGTCAGCAGGGGAGCCAGTACCCGTGCCCAGTCATCCTGATGCCACCCTTCCAAGGTGGCGTCACTTCGAACATTTGTAAGAAGGCTTCTACATCATCATGAGGGGTCAGCTTGGGTAGCAGCTTTGCGGCTTGCACTCGGGGGTCCGGCAGCAGTCCGCAGTGCCGCGAGTTCCTGCTCCATCTCTCCTTGATGGGTGGCGAGGTGCTCAACGATTTGTTGCTGGCGGATGCTAACCTTTGTGAGCTGCTGGAGGATTTCGTCCATGGTGGGGTAGGAGCGCTCGCCTGTGACAGAAACCGGAGACAAAAACAAAGGAAAAAAGGTGAGGTGAAGAAGATCGCTTGTCGGTGATTAATTATTTAAAAATCCTACAATGTGATTTTCTGGATTTTTTTTTCTCATTTTGTCTCTCATAGTTGAGGTATACCTATGATGAAAATTACAGGCCTCTCTCATCTTTTTAAGTGGGAGAACTTGCACAATTGGTGGCTGACTAAATACTTTTTTGCCCCACTGTATTAGGATAATGCATGATGAATAAATGAAGGACCATGCAAACAGACAAATCAGTGCAGATATAGTGTACCACCATGTCACCTGCAGCTTTCAGCAGTTTTGTTATGCTTGGTGTGTTCCTGTAATCTGGCCACAGGTTTAAATGCAGTATTCCATCACCAGGGGCTAGATTGTAGCCCATTAAAACATTCAGGTACTTCATTAACATTTTATTAACAAAATTACTCCACACAAGCAATCAAAACCAATACTTGCCTTTTCTGACCTCACTCCTGCTGAAAAGCTTCCAACACACACACACACACACACACACACACACACACACGCACACACACACCTCACAACATCAAAAACATATACTCTCATTTCTTTTTAAATGAATTTATTGATGTGTTAGTCATAAGAGGTTTGAATCTGTTAACATGTGAAAGAGAAAATAAGTGAAGAGTAGTAGCTAGAAGGAGGAATTTTTGATAAATGTAAAGTTTAATGCAGTGATTGTGTGGGTGTTTGTATTTGTTTGTTCAGGGGCTTCAAGGAAGCTGACAGTGAGACTCATACATTCTTGACAGAAGGTGCTCGGGAAGGTTTTCGGTTGGAATTGAGGATGTTTACCGAAAGCTTCTGTTTACACAAAAAAACGACACCAGCAATGTGAGAAGTGCCTTTCTAGTTTTCGTGAACAGCAGTCAGAGAATTTGCTCCTCGGTGTAGGATTTCATTTTTTGTATTATGACTGAACAATGTTCCTGTTTCTTTTGCATAATACAAAAGAGAGAGATGATTTGGGAATCAATTCTTGCCAACAGCACCAAAGGCAATTATCGTGCGTGTATATAAAAGAGAGATAAAGGGAATGAAAGAGAGAATGAAAGATAGAGAGAATGAGGAACTTAACTGTCAAGTCAAGTCAAGTCACCTTTATTTATATAGCGCTTTTAACAATACAGATTGTGACAAAGCAACTGAACAGCATTAATTAGGAAAATTGTGTCAATAATGCAAAATGACAATAGTAAACACTCATTTTGTGGTCAATGTTTTTTATTTCAGCCAGTGTTGGGGCCTGCTTTCCGAAGCAAGGTAACCACACCCAGCCACTCCCATATCCCCTCATGTTGGCCTGCCTCTGGCCAATCAGAGCCTCTGACTGGCCTATCATTTTGTTTCACTGTTTTTGTCAATTGTATATAAATGTCTTGTCTCTGCATACTGCCCGACCACAATGGATGGGTGTTGTCTGCCTGCCATGTGCGTTAGCCGCTGTTCCTGCCAGTCTTTATGAGCAAGAGAGAGGGGGTAGTGAAGCTACATGTGCATTAGATTGCGCCTCTTGTCCTTGGAGGCAGTTTAGGAATGCGTAAACGTATTTGTGCCGCTCTGTCAGAAGCATCATGCACTTTTAAACTGAGGGGGCCCGTACAGTAAACCAAGGTGTCAAGGTTTGGCTGGTTAGCATGATTCAGTTTGCTGCTGGTAGATGCTGTAACTACACCATCTATCTGAATCTTTCTTCAATGAAGGTCATTTGCAAGTATCTGTGGATTCTGATAATAAATTGTAGGCAAACATATAAGTCAGAAATGTTTTACTATATTATAGAATCACCCTTTTAAAACAGATTTTAAGAGCTTTCCTCACCTATACGTGGCCTAATTGTTAGAGAGTCGGACTTGTAACCCAAAGGTTGTGGGTTCGCATCTCGTACCGGCAGGAATTGTGGGTGGGGGGAGTGACTGTACAGCGCTCTCTCCCACCTTCAATACCATGACTGAGGTGCCCTTGAGCAAGGCACCGAACCCCCAACTGCTCCCTGGGCGCCGCAGCAAAAAAATGGCTGCCCACTGCTCTGGGTGTGTGTTCATGATGTGTGTGTGTTCACTGCTGTGTGTGTGCACTTTGGATGGAATAAATGCAGAGCACTAATTCCGAGTATGGGTCACCATACTTGGCCACATGTCACGTCACTTTTTTTCACTTCACTGTACATTTTTCCCATCTTCTGAACTCTTCTTAACTAACTGATTAAATGAAATGTCTGTCATCATTTACTCACCCTCACGTCATTCAAACCCATTAATTGTTTATTTTTTGACACAAATGAAGATATTTTTAATATTCACTCATCCTTTTTGTTCATCCATTGAAAGTCCATGCAACCAAAACTTTTACACATCAAGAATTACAAAAACATAGTAAAATTAATCCATATGTACCAAGTATTTAATCCAATTTAGAATATTTAATCTACAGTAAGTCTTCTGAAGAGACATGATTGCTTTATAAGATTTAATTTCGCATATGAACATTGATTAACACACATACATAGAGCACATCAAATATGGTATAGACGGTAGCTCAGATGTGATTATTTGACACATGAGAAACTAGTGAGATTTGTGTGATTACTTTTGCAGTGTCTTACGCTGCATCTGAAATTGCATAATCTCTTGAGTAGTTACTTATTTTGAATAAAGAAATTACTTCGGGACTGCTAAAAAAACTGTTTTATATAGTATATATGTATGTAGTATGAATGTAATGTGGGCATGCTATATTCGACATGTTGTCATTTTCACATGATCTACGAGCATCAGTTCACATCACTGGCATTCAGAAATCCTCTCCTGCAGCCTCATGGGATAATAATTGGATGTGCACTTCAGAATCTTGCCTGAAGTAGTAGGTCATCTGGGTACTTTTTGCCTACTCTTTTATGAGTACTGTGAATTCCATCATACTGCTTTTATCATACTGTTTTTCGCCTGCTACTGTATATTGTAGGGATGTTATTTCAGGTGCAGCCTTAAAAATTATATGAGGGTTAATGATGACAGAATTTTCATTTTTGGGTGAACTATTTTTTTAAGTTGTTAAAAAGTGCTTTTCATAGGGCATAAAATCAGTCTGAACTACCACTGGTGCCCCCCTCAAAAAACATTGTACATAACGCCCCTGACTTCTGTAGCCAACTTTTTAATTGCTTTTCTCTTCTAGTATATACAGGTACGTGTATATACAGGTGCATCTCAATAAATTAGAATGTCGTGGAAAAGTTCATTTATTTCAGTAATTCAACTCAAATTGTGAAAATCGTGTATTAAATAAATTCAGTGCACACAGACTGAAGTAGTTTAAGTCTTTGGTTCTTTTAATTGTGATGATTTAAAATTTAGCTAATCTCCTACAGAGAAATTTTGGCTCCATTCTTTTTTTTCTGATCTATAGATCAGTGCTTTTCCTTTTCCTTATTTCCCTCTTTTGACTAAACCTGAGATCAATAACTTTGCAGTGAGCAGCCACTCGCTCTTGTGCTCCTTTCTGTTGTAATACGTCTAACATCTCATGCCATTTTTCTCTCTTACTCCTTTTCACCCCATTCTCCTCCACCGTCTGTCTGTCTGTGAATGCATTTGCACTGTTGCATGCGTGCGTGTGGTCATGCATGACCGAATGGATGGGCGTGTGCTGGTGCCACACTCTTCACATTCCTCAACTCCTCCTGGCCCCCTTTCATCTCTCTCTCTCAAACCAGACCCGGAGCGTGGCGGAGGTCACATGATCTCCACCGATGACCTGGAGTACCCGCGTGAATATCGCACGCTGGGAAACAGCACGCGACGCTTCTCCAACGTGGGGTTGGTCCACACCTCTGAACACCGGCACACGGTCATCGCCGCCCAGAGCCTGGAGGCCCTCACCAACCTGCACAAGGCCGACATGGAACGCAAGCGGGACGCATTCATGGACCACCTGAAGAACAAGTACCCTCCTCAGCACTCCCTACCACCCTCTCCATCCCCCTCGCATGGCAGCATGAGGGGCACCGCAGAGAGAAGCGCACGAGAACAGGTATGTACGAGGTTTACCTTGTTTGATGTTGCTGGATCAATATTATTGTTAGTCATGGAACAACATTCTGATTCACCAATCATATTCCAGGGTTAAGTTTAGGTCTTTTTAATCAGTCAAACCCTCTGGTTTTAGGGGTAGTTAATAGTTATTTTGTTTTATTTTATTATTTTATTTTATTTGACTACTTCTAATACTATTTTAATACAAATTTATTATTATTATTATTATTAGGACTATTTTTTGTTTTACAAAGTTTATTTTAGTTTATTATTTTATAATAATAATAATAGCAAATTATATATATATATATATATATATATATATATATATATATATATATATATACACACACACTACCGTTCGAAAGTTTGGGATGAGAACAGTTTTTTAAAGGAGCTTCTTATGCTCATCAAGGCTGCATTTATTTGATCAAAAAAATACAGAAAAAAATGGTAATCTTGCAAAATGATGGTTTCTATTTTAATATCCTTTAAAATAAAATTTATTTCTGTGATGCAAAGCTGAATTTCCATCAGATGAATATAAAGTTAAAAAGAACATCATTTATTCAACATATAAATCTTTTCTAACAATATAATCTTTGCTATTACTTATTATCAATTTAACACATCCTTGCTGAATAAAAGTTTTAATTTCTTTCAAAAAAAGAAAGAACTTTTCTTTTTAACTTTTTATTCATCAAAGAATCCTGAAAAAAAGTATCACAGGTTCCAAAAAAATATTAAGCAGCACAACAGTTTCCAGCACTGATAATAAATCATCATATTAGAATGATTTCTGAAGGATCATGTGACACTGAAGACTGGAGTAATGACTGCTGAAAATGCAGCTTTGCATCACAGGAATAAATTCGATTTTAATGTATATTAAAATAGAAAAACACTATTATTTTACATTGTAATAATATTTTACAATATTAAAATTTTTCCTGTATTTTTGATCAAATAAATGCAGCCTTGATGAGCATAAGAAGCTCCTTTAAAAACATAAAAATCGTTCTGATCCCAAACTTTTGAACGGTAGTGTGTGTGTGTGTGTGTGTGTGTGTATATATACACGCACACACTATACACACACACTACCTTTCAAAAGTTTGCGATCAGAACGATTGTTTTATGTTTTAAAGGAGCTTCTTATGCTCATTAAATGTATGTTTATAACACAATTTATAATTTATATTCATGGACTTCTGTAAATAAACTACGTTTATTTATTTGAGCTATTTTTAACATATTTCCAGTCTGTTGTTTAATAAGTTGATGACGTATTAGAGATGATGTTGTGATGTTGACCGTGTTTTAATGTTATTGAAAGAAGTCTCTTATGCTCATCAATTCTGTATTTATTTGATTAAAAGTACAGTAAAAATAGTAATATTGAAAAAATTATTACAATTTAAAATAACTTTTCTTTTTTTTAATATATTTAAAAATTTTATTTATTCCTGTGATGTTAAAGCTGAGTAATTTTCAGCATCATTACTCCAGTCTTCAGTGTCACATCATCCTTCAGAAATCATTCTAATATGCTGATTTGCTGCTCAAGAAACATTTCTTATTATCATCAGTGTTAATATTGTGTATGTACTTTGAAAACTGCACACACATAGGACTGGTTCTTGGTTCAACATCCTTGCAACATCCTTAAGCTTCTGACTGGTTAATAGGAGTGTTACTCCAGTAACTACAAAAGGACATTGATTCAGGAACATATGCTGCTTGTGTAAATTACATTTATGCATGCATGGAAACACTCTTACACACAAAAGATGCACAACATGGGACTTTGTACCTATCTGAGAGGTCTTCTGAAGGAGGCATTGACACATATGACCACTCAGATCGGATTTAGCGTAGCTTTTTCACGTTCTCACGCCACGTAAAACGTAAACACGTCAGACGTTTTTGTAGAGAACATGCTGAACGTCTTTGCAGAAACATGCTTATGCTGTTGCGAAGTGCAAGTCAAGCGGGAAAAGACCATATACTGCTAGTATACACAACTCTGAGTTTTGAAACCAGCAGAGACGGCAGCACGGAATGAAGTCACACATTCCAGCTTCCTGTGTTTCTGCCGCTGCCTCATAAAACAAAATATAATCGAGCCGGGACGGTGTAGTGCCGAATTCTGACCCCTGCCAGATTATTACCCCCTAGTATTGGTAGGTTTAGAGTTAGGTGTGGGGGAGGATTAGGCAATCAGGTAGCGATTTCAACGAGGGGGGTAATCATTTGGCAGGGAGTCGAAAATGGGCACAACACCGGCAAAAAGTTGTCATGTTGTAAGACAACATCTGTATTGCAAACTGTTTTGCTGTTGTTGTTTTTAGTGTAGGCATAACAACGCAACGGCATTGCCATAGAAACCAATGCAGATATTCAGTAAAACGAAAGAGCGCTACGGGACACACAAACCGGATTTGAATAGTTGCGAGATACACAGTGTGGACAGTCAGTCATCAAGATCGGATTCCAATCGGATATGCACAAAAAAAATCGGATTTAGGCTGACGGTCTGAACAAAGCTATAGAGCCTGCAGTACATACAAACTCTTCAGTCACTGGTGGCATAGACTTAATATCTCCCCAGCTTTCACACAGCTTGTAGAGAAGCTGTCAAAATATCATTGAAACATTTTGTGATCACCGCAGAAAACAGGCTGTTGCATGCTAGAATACAGCGAAACAGCAGCCACTCTGTGAATGGAACAACTGGTTCTTATGGAAGAGGGTGACGTAATGTTGCATTCAAATATGGATGATGTCACTGCATCAAACCAGTATCAGCCAATCAGCTGTGTGCATGAAAAGAGAGATCGAGACACCAGGTATAACAGACAAGTTTACGCTCAAGTCTTTCTAAATCCTCCTGCGCTGATGTTTTTAGAGGGATGAGTGTTGAAAACGAGACTTTTGAACTTGATGGACAAACCTGTAAAATAAACTGATTCAAACTAATGAAATTGTTAAAAACATAATAGGAAATAAACACTGTAACCAACACAGTTTGTCAAATTAAATATTTGTTTGATATTCAATGACTCGTTTAAAAGACACAAATTTGTGTTTGCTGAATAATTTGCTTTAAAAAAAAGACTGTAACCTAATGAAGATGGAAAATGGGAGCTCCTGTGCATCTGAGCTCAGGTTCTGGATTTTCAGTGATGCCAAAATAAAAGTGCTACTTTGGTCACTTGTGGACAGAAAAACTTAGAGGCTGATGGCGATAATCAAAAAATTAGAATTAATTGGTCTAGGTTATATATTGGTCGATCACTAGTCTTTGTTGCTCTCATCCATGCAGTAACAATGGACGGCATTAAAAGAGATGCATTGCACCATAAAAGCAGTTCTTATGACTAAAGTTTAAATCGTTATTTGAAGCTTGAAAGCTACATTACTCTTATTGACTAGAATGACCAGTACAATCATTTTGTGCAACTATGAAAGTCATACAGATTTAAAACAACATGAATAAATGATGCAAATTTTCTTTTTTGTATGAACTACTCTTTTAAGTAGATTGGTCAATGAGCATTTTTTGTTGGCGAACAACATTACTATGATAGTCGAATACCTAGACTAGCACTGAACCAGCATAAACATGGAAACTCATGCTGGTCTAAGCTAATCTTTTCAGCAGGGCTGTTTCGACAGTCTCTCTTTGTCTTTTCATCATCTATTTTACAGCTCTTTCATCCTCATGTATGTGATTCTCATCACAGTATATACCTGAGCGTAACATTAATGCCCAGCAAGCGTGTGAGAGATGACAGGATCAAATGATAGAGAGAGAGAGAGAGAGGGTGGTTGGGTGAGAGACAGGTGGAGTCTATGGTTGCCAAGGCAACACCACCCTTATATGGAAACTGGTGATATCATATTGCAAAGGTCAGGCTAGAGAGAAAGAGAGAGCGAGAGAACAAGGAATAAAGAGAGTGAGAGAGAGAGAGTGACAGAGAAGACAAAAAACACAGCGGAGAAAAGGGGAAGGGTTTCAGAATATCCTCACCTCTGAAGGAAGACGCTTCACAGGAATTCCTCTTTATTTATTTGCCTATCTGCAGCCGTGGTGGAATAATGGAAAGGGGGAGGCGAAGAGGAGGACAAGAAGAGAGGGAGAGAGGGGACAGATGAGTGCAACGGTGTGTAAACTGGCGGGAGGAGAGTTAATTATCCTATACCAGCCATTTCCAGAGACTCCACCACGGAAGAGTTAAAGCAGCAGCCAGTAGCCAGCCGATGCTGTAATGAATTAAATAAAGAACCTGCCATCACATGTGCCGGAGAGAGAAAGAGAGGGCAGGAATAAGAGAATGAGTATTCTGCTCACCTGACAGCCAGCTGCTAAGACTGAAGGCATCTAGCTAGTGTGCGTGTGTGTGTGTGTGTGTAGGGAGGATGCACACTCACTAGCGCACACGCATGCAGGTGCAGGTGAGATTCGCGCTGACGGCTTCATCTGTGGTGACGACGTGCAGATGGACACTACTTGGGTTTGATTTTTGCAGGTGTGTGTGACTGAGTGTATCTGCACATCAGTGAGAGGGAACATGTGTGACTGTATGTATTTGTATGCGTGTGTGCATGTAAGGGAAGGAAGAGCTGTTTTGCATGCAGGTCAGGTGGTGTATAGCTACGGTAGGCTCTGCATGTCGTCTTGCTGGGCTGACACATGTTTCTCAGGTGGAGACTAATGCTGGTCACGGGATCAGATGCAATAGTATTCAGGCTTGATTGTTGTGTTTAGTGCGCATGAGAATGTGCTTTTGCTTTAATAAAGGTGGATTGGTTGTAATGCTCATTGCTCATGTATAGGTGCACATGGTTTCTGATGCATGCAGGAGGTGGATTTAAAGAGGACATGCTCTATTACAGTTTTAAAGTATATCATTATGTACTCCTGATTAAAGCTAGTTAAGGATTATTGCAGGAATATAGTCGTAATTTGTATTTCAATGCCAGTTTGAACTCTCTTAGCATTTAACAGCAAGCAGTTTAGCTGGGTTTATTGCTGTACCTTTAAGAGTACCTTTTGTAGGGTTGAGGTTAGGCTTTGTAAATAACCTCTGATAGGTTAACTTCCATGTGCCAATGGAGTTCAGTGCCAATCACAACTGGTCAGGCCATTTACACCTGATAGCAACATGTTTTAAATGTGTTTCCCGTGACCACGTGTATTCAAGACTCTAATTCTGTGACTACACTGTAAAACTGATTTTTCTGAAGTTATAAATAGAACAAAGAGACTATTGGAGTACATTCTACAGTAAAATACTATTTCAGTTTTTTTGAGTGAAAATGGTTTCAACACCAATTGTTTTAGTGTATATAAGTCAGTTTTTAAGCATCAGTGCTGGTTGATAAAATGGCACAATATTATCAGATTTACTTTTTTAATTTCACCACAAGCATTATGCTTTGAGCAGAATTTTCAGTGATTTTAGTCAAGTAACTGTATTAACTGTACTTTGGATGTGCTTTTTTTTCATGTGATCTGTGTTGCTGCTTGTTGATGCCAGGCAAATTCTGCAAAGATTTCACCCTTATTTTATGTAACTGTCAAAATAAACTTACTTTAGGGCAATGGGTGATTGGCAGGTGAGATTGATGGATTAGCATTTTCAGCTGCTTCCAAATGTGGTTTGAGTGATTGAATCACAAAACGATTTGAACCCCTTTTATAGCTATATTTATTGTTGTCTATATGAAAGGAATGTTAGTACCAGGTGTAAACAGAGTTTTAGTGTCCTAAATGGCCTGGGTGATTTGGGAAGGGAGCTTTGCATTCTGAAGAAATCTGTTTTACATGATTTATCTCTTTTTTAAATGTTTCCATTCAGATGCACCTGTTTCATTTATTAACCCTTAAACATGCTGTTAATTTTCCGCTGGCAAAAGCAGCCGCTGCTTAGACAGCCATTTAGAGTTGTTTCTAAGCAACTGAGGACGCTGGCCTCATACTGCTCCATGGAATTCTGCTTGTTATGGGAAAATAACATCACCAAGCCACAGCTCACCGGCCCTGCAGTGCATAAATCCATAAGACGCTGAAGTGGCCCCTCAATTATGATCCAATATGATGGCGTCGGCAGTTGTGTTATTTCAGTTATTTATCAAAAGCTATGTCAAAGAGAGAAATTTAGGGCTGTCACATTGAAATGATTTAGGAGACTTTTCATTGCTGTGAATTTTTCACTTCCTTTGTGGTTTGGCCGGAGCCCACAGCACAAATTGAAATGGCCATGAGTGTGTGTGTGTGTGTGTGTGTGTGTGTTTCTAACTTAGCCATGCTTTTCAGACAAATTTGCTGAGATATGTTGCTAGGAGTTTGCAAAAACGGACAAAATCTCATTTTGGGCGACGTCGTTAAGAGCATATGTGGTTCATAAATAAATAAATATATATAAAAATATACTTTTATATATTTACTTTTTAATTTAATTTTATTTACAGTATTTACTTTTTTGTAAATTGTATTAGTACTTTTTAGATAAATTTATGCGCATCATTTAATTGTATTTTTCCCCCAAAATATGACATTATTAACTATAAAAAGAAAGACAATAAAAATAAAAATATTTAATTGATATAATTGATATAATTAAAAAATATATATATGAAGTTGAAGGTTTTCATTTACTGTGGACGTAATTCTTGAGAGAAAGTTTCAAGACATTTGCCGTAAAAACATTTGCGGAGTTGTTGTTTTTTTTTGCCTTGTATCCATGCTGATAGATGTCAGTTTAAAGTCCACTTTTTTTTATTGGCAAATGAATCCTGAAAATGAAATTACTTAATGCACCTTTAATTTACATATACATTTTAGGTGAAAGTTTGAGTGTGCCTGTTGAATTCCTTTCATGCTTCAGACAATCATGCCCCACGTAATATGAGAATGCTTTGGTTTGAAAATGCTGCTGGGAGACATTTAATATTACGTCCTTGAGCAGGCACTTAAATCTCAAAGCTGTTCCAAAGTACGGTTTATCCCCCTGGATTGACCATCAACTGCACACAAGGCTTAGCTTTAGGCAGAAGTTCAGTACCAGAACAGGCTTGACTTTAGGTTGAAGTTCATTACTAGTAAACACCTCCTGGAAACAAAGCAATGGGTCCATCTGCTGCTCAGTAGTACCTGACATCAGGTAGCCCAGAATCAATCCCTGCAGGTAAGGCCCTTCCCCCTATATCTGATCCATTTTTGTCTGGATGGGCAGATTCAATCATTAAAACAGCCAAGACGCAGAAACCAGTTAAACCTGCTTTGTAACAGAATAAACACAGGATTATCTGAGAAGGGTTGGCCAGTTTTTTTTCCAGATATCTTCAACACAGTAACACTGACCAACACTGAAATATAGATATTATATGATATAGGTATATGAGGTATTTTCTTTTTGGAGAGACCCTGATGCAATGAGTGTATGCTGATGTCTTAAACTCAACTTTGGGGTGTTTGTGTGTATTCAATATAAATAAAGCACTACTGTGCAAACTCGTGCTGCTTGTATTTTTCATAGTAGGGCATTGCCAGGATGAGCAGCACGAAGTCGAATGCAGATGATTGAGTACACAGAATATTATTTTAGAATAGAAATATAATGCTAAAGTACTGCTATGTGAGCGGTGAGCTATTATACACCATTGACATCAACATCCTATTTCCAGGGAGTTCAGCAACATTTTTGGCCTTGTGTAGAAGGAAATATTTAGCTGACGTTTTTTTTTGCTATAATATGTTTTCCTCTCTAAATGTATGTTTGTACATGCACACACTTTTAATCAGCTAACCATGCAGTCTAGATTTGGCCATGAAATATTCAAAGGTCTTGATCGATCAGGGTTGGGTTCACCAAATTAGCAGCAGTTTTATTCAAAGAATATATGGGAACTCGGGGCACTTTAGGCCCTGTGGCCTTAATGAACTGAATAAAGAAAATAAACCACTTTATTAACCACACTTTTCACACTCACTAGTTTATTTAACTTGTCCTCTAATAATGTAATGTCTGTCTGGTAATACAGTGGACATACATTCATGACAGAAGAATTCTTTTTAAAAATATAATTTCCACCACAGTGTCATTTCCATTTCCATCACATCTCAAATCATTCTATGGTGGAAATGACAGTGATTTAAATTACTTCTCTTTCTCTCTCCCTCCCTCCCTCCCTCCCTCCCTCCCTCCCTCTTTAAATCTAATTGCAACAAGAGTTACAGAGAAAGTAAAGAAAGTTACCAAGAAACAAAGACAACAATATCAGACTTTCCGCATGTCTTTGACTCTCCGTAAAAGTGAAATTCACAGATGAAATGGGAGAGATAGGTGAGAGCGCTTCAGACAGCTGACCAATTTCAGTATGATTGATAGATCTGGGCATCAGGCCAAGCATAGACACAGAGGGGATCTTTTTAATAAATGTTTTTCTCATTTGCTGCAATCTTGTCAGTTAGTCAGTCAGCCAGGGCAGCTGATGGACGGATGAGAGAAAGCCTTCATGCAGACTCATTTAGAGGGCCAGCCCATTCAGAACAGCTCCTTATGATGACCAGACTAGAGGAATTATGTGCCACTGTGTTACCATGTGCTTTAATGCTATCTTTACTCTGCAAATTGCTGCATATGACTCAGCATATGTGGTGTAAAAAGTCTGTTTATTGCTGCTTATACACTACCAACAGTTTTCGGCTCAGTACGTTTTTTAATTGTATGTAGTGTAAACTGACCAAAAGTGAGAGTAAAAACATTTATAAGATAAGATTTTTATTTCAAAGTAATGCTGTTTTTGAACTTTCATCAAAGTATTCTGAAAAAAAAATGCATCACAGTTTCCACAAAAATATTAAGCAGCACAGCTGTTTCTTGAAAATGCTTAAAAATTCAGCTTTATCATCACAGGAGTAAATTCAAAGGAGTAAATTACATTTTAAAATAATGAAGTTCATATTTAAGTAATATTTCACAATATTACTGTTTTATTGCATTTCTGATCAAATAAATTGAGCCTTGATGAGCATAAGAGATGACTTTAAAAACATATAAAAATACTTTGGCCCTTAATTTTGAATGGTAGTGTTAGTGGGACAGTATAAATGCATATTGCAGTAATGTTCATGTTTTAATGACTTATAAATATAGAAATATGAAATGGTGAATGGAAATATGAAGCTATAATTAGAGAATAAATAATAAAAGCGGTAATTAGAGCAGCTCTACCTTGCATGTGTAAAAATGCCTTACGTTATGCAATATATTAGTTAGTTATTTTGCTTACAATTGCTTATTATAAAGAGTTGAAGTGAATGTATGTCCAAAATTCACAAAAATTCTGACAAATATTCTCACTGAGGTGTGTTCTCTCTCTTTCTGTCTCTATTCATATTTTCCTTCACATTCTTTTATCACAAAAGATGTCAAATGGTTGCAGAGGGTGACTGTGTATGAGGTGTCACCACACACAGAGATAAATGTCTAAGTAACGCTCTCTCTCTCTCTTTTCTCTCTCTTCCCATAGCAACAGCCAAACTACTGGAGCTTTAAGGTCAGTGCTTTAATTACTTATATGTGTGTTCTTATATCAAAAACTTGTTCTTTTGATACCTGTTTGTGTTCTTATGTTATATGTACGTGTTTTTTTTTTATATCGGTTGTAGGCCCACTTTGAATCCGCACCAAGTTTTATACAACTCACATCCCAAAAATCAACAAAGAAATGCAAAAAATGACAGCAGATTCTGTCGGGGCCAAGTAGCAGGGACACAATTGTAGCCAAAATTGAGATAAATCTGACAAAAAACCCTTTGTTGGCTCACATGGACATCCTTAAGTGTTTAAAATGATGAGTCTGTAGAAATTACAGTGAGCATCATATAAACCAGTTGAAGTCTATGGTGTTGAATAGGTTTGTATCATGTGTCAGGTGTGTTAAAGTCATTGATTTGTGGGCCATGCAGGGCTGAGGCTGATTTGTTATGATCTGCTTCACCGGTTTTTATCTTCTAAATCTCATTCCCCTGTTCTTTCTTTCTATCTCCATCTATCTCTCTTTTCCTCACTTACATTTTCTTACACAGCTGCCCATAGAACCCATAAAAGTATTACAGCTTAAGTCAACTTAATAGAACTGAACAAAGAACTGAGTCTCTATAGATGTTTTAAAAAACGAAACTTCTTTTAAGTTGTCACAGCATCTTAAAAACCTAGGGAATAATACTCTACGAAAAAAATAAAATAATTGGAAAGCCATGGGAAACCAAAGGATGTTGGTTCAGAAACTTTATAGGCCTACGTACAGTATCCCATCAAATCCCTCATTATTGAACCTGTACTCTATTGTAAATTATATTTATTCTATCAGGGATAAAATGTCTATTAGATGTATTAGAGATGTTGGAGGGTGTGTATAATTGTACAAGGACACAGGAAATGGCCTCAGGCTGTGATAAACTGTCCTTATTGTGAGACTCAGTAATCGGATCCTCCTGATTCTGTTCATTCATATTCACTCTCACACTTATTTACTCATGTTACACTCCTCCTGTCAACGGACACTCACTTATTCTCTATGTCTATCATTAATGTCATGTTTGTTTTTTGTTTTTTTTATGTGGCTATCCAGATAATAACATGCAGACAGCATGTTTGAGTACATGTCGACATTGATTTGGGACTACTGAGATCTTGCTGTGATTTTCTTCCAGAGTCTTTCGTTGTTGGGCATCTCAGTTGGGTTTTTTAATCATCACATTATTTGTTTCACTCTAGACTTTCTAGACTAATGGACTCCCTCTGACCTGACCCTTCAAATCCCTTGTAACATGTTCACCTCAAACTCTGTCGTTTATCCAATACTTAAACCTTACACTCTCTTGTCTATTAGTGTCTTCAGAATTATGGACCTTCTCTTCTCTTCTCTTTCCTTTCCTCTCTCTTCTCTTCTGATGTTTGCGTGTTCTTGTCACGGTAAGATGAATTGTCAGGTGCTTTCAGAACATTTTTTCCTTTATGTGCAGATTCTGAGCCCCCAACAGTTGCCTGTTGAAAGCAACCAGCTCCCCTGGCTGGTTATGCCACATAAAATAAGCCTCTCTGCAAATTACTGTCAGAGTTGTGATTTTTTGGTTCTCTCATTCTCGCTGCCTTGTTCTTTGCTTTGATAACTACTTCGTATCTAGAGGTAAAATGTGTTTTGATGTCCAAGTGCTGGTTCATTAGCATTTTTCTGTTGTTCCCTTCTTTAGCATATGTTTTAAATTGTTAGAGCTAGCCATATGCTAACAGTGAAGAGAGGGTGCAGAGCTCGTCATTGACAGTGTTGGGGAGTAGCTAAGTTCAAGTAGTGGTGCTACGAAAACATTCAGTAGCTTGTCAATACATAAGTTGTGTTGCAATTGTTCTGGCTTTTCAAGTAACTACTGTTCAGGTAGCTCTTGGAAGTCTGATGCATTAGTTAAAATGTTTTGTGAGGATGCATAAATGATTACTCGATTCTAAATTCATCACTTTTTCATCACTGAAATGTTTTCCTTTTGTAGAAGTGAACATGTTTTTTTTTGTGAAATATTTTGCTAAATTCTGCTGCTTATCACAGTGTTTTTTTTATAATTAGAATGTTTTTTAAATTTTATTAGTTGTTGTTTTTTGCTGTAAATCCGTGTCTACCAGTTGTTGTGTTGGCGTCAGGGTAAATATTTCTCAGATGCAACTTACGCTGATTGGGAAAACGTGGTTGGGGTGACATTTCTGTCAGGTGCACATTTCGCAACACTTTCAAAATGAAATGTCCAGGGGTCTCATTTATAAATGTTGCGTACGCACAAAATGGGCATATAAATTGCGTACACAATTTTCCATGCACATATCGGGATTTATAAAAAATAAACTTGGCGTGAATATGTACGCACCGTATGGATATTCTAGACCATGTGTACACACTCTTTTTCCTGGAGTGAGAAAAGTAAAATCTGTTTTCATTTCGATATACACATTTACATTAAATATTCCACTCTCATTAATGGAGATAAGCACTGAAATTACATAAGGTCATTACGCAGAAGTTAAACAAAAATTATATGAATTTAGACATATTTAGTGGATGCGCTAGATCAGTTTTCCTGTGGTATGTTATGTTTTAATGACAGCGAGGAGGGCTATAGGTGCACAATAATTTATCTTTAAACTAAACTGCAGATCTCATGTTATGAGAAAATATTTTTAGTGAGAACAATGATCATTGATGCTCACTTACTTCGATATTGTGGCGGACACTGCTGGATTCGGTGGAACGGTCTATTGTCCGGTTTGAATAGGACCAATGATAATAGCTTACTGTACAACCGCAGCTGCACCGAAGTGTTGATGTCGTGTGAAGGCATCTCCACAACATTATGAAAAATACCACTGTATTTGAAGGATACAACTTGAAGAAAATGGTAATTTGCATGTTTTCTTTTTAAAATAGGCTACTTTGTCAGTGACGCACAGAGTCAGGCAATTCTATTTACACTGTAAAAAATATAGGCTAAAAATAGCTAAAAGATGTTCACCTTCTCAGCAAAACTGCATAAATTGAATTTGATTTGAATTGTTTAAAACAATTGAAATACTATTTAGCAAATGGAAAATAATGAGATCAACTCTATTCTACAATATTTATCTGAGAACTATTTTAAACAGTTTTGTTTTTATGGATTTTGATATATTTATTCTAAAACATAACAAGGATACTGGATGCTTTTTAGCAATAAAAATGAATGTGTATGGCACAAATGGCATTTATAGTCCGTATCTCATATTTCCTTAATGTGTTGTACCTTTAACGGTGTTAAACATGGTGTCACGTGGATGGGAATATGCATGGAAATGATATGCAGATGAGGTTATGCATAGTAAAACTAGGCATTGTACGCTCCATATATGGTGATTTCGGGGAGGAGTCAGGGTGCAGATGCATGTACGCACAATCTTCCGCTTACTGGGATTTATAAAGGGATTTTTGCGCAGGTTCTGGCATACGCATGGTTTTATAAATCTGAAAACTTTTGTGCGTACGCAAAATCTAGCTTTTGTGCATACGTACACTTTTAGGATGAAATCTACCGAGAGTTTTATAAATGAGATCCCAGTTCAGTTCAGTTTCATCCAGAACTAATATGGGTGAATGTGGCAACATCTTATTAAGTTGGTTTTTGTAGAATGCAGCAGATTTTAAAATGAAATGACAAGTGAGTGGTGCTAAAGGTTAATGCTCTGTCACCTTAGAAAATAGCTTTTACTAAACCCTACCCTAAACCTAACTTCAAGTGTTAACACAAGCAAATGTGACATAAAAACATATTTGATGAAGCAACCATGCTACGTTTTGCTGGCTTCTACAAGCCTTTGAGATCTTTTATCATTACTCATACCTGAGCTCTCCCCATCAAAAGTACAATGCTGTACCAGCTGAGCTACTGAGCAAGTTTACTATATCAGAAAAGCCATACATTTAAATGTGGTTCAGCAAAATGTTAGTTTACAAATCATGCACTTTGATAAGTGTTCTGAGATCATAACATGTATTATGCAAGAAAAATAAGTCTTAATTAACTGATAATCTGCCCTGTAATCATATTTTGTGTGAACAGTTTTTGGTGATTTACTGCCACTAGTGGCAGTTTCAGCTGGAAACGGCAGTGAATGGTATAGTATAGGTATGTGTTTGAAGTTCTGCAAAAATGTGGGTATAGAGGCACATTTCTCCAATGAGCCTTGGTTGGATAAATAGTTTTAACTGGCTGATTTATTTTTATTTTTTTTGTAATCTGTGAAATAAGAAATAATTATATTGTTTATTTGCATAGTTTCAATATAATTAGGTATTTTCCAAAGAGTAACATAAGTACAGTAGCCTGTCAAACTACAATTTAAAGTAGCTTCTTTGTCATTACCGAATTCACCCCATCGAGTGAGCTTCAAGGTATCCTAAAAATCATGTACCACAAAAACAAAGACATACACATACACCGGACACATGTTGCACTGCCTGGATATCCAGTTTAACATTATTTTTTATGTTTTTGTTAAACTGTGTCATCTGTTATCTCTTGTTTTGGGAGATCCTCTATCAGACAGTAAAGGTGTGCGGAACTAATCCATTGTCCTCCTTCTCTTCTCTTCTCGTCTCTTCCTCTTATCATTTCAGTCTTCATCATTGCTATTAGTCCCCAACGATAAGTGCAGAGAATGCCGCCAGGAACATGTGTGTAATTAAACAAGAAACAACGGAGTGCCTAATAAAACCCTATTTTATGCGGAACTACTTCCTTCCGCCACGGTTTCAAAGCTCAAGTTGACAGTTAAACATGCGTCACTTTTAGAATTGGTATCAAGGGCATGTGCTGCTTCAGTTAGGTTATTAGTGAGAAATAATGAGGTTAAAGAGAGAAACAATGTGGCAAGACGTGCATCCAAATGAGAGAGAGAGAGACCGCGAAGCTAGACGTTTCTTCTTGTATTAACTAACGTACTCTACGATTTGCTCAGTGAATAATTAAAAAAACC